CCCTTCTTGCAAGTGGATTTGGGGGAGCCCAGACACCTGACAGGTGGGCACCTGCTCGGGAGGGAGCTCTTCCTTCAGCCAAGAGTATGGGCACTCTCTTGGGCATCTCTGGGGCATTGTCAGCCCGGAGCAAATGTTTCTGATGCCCCCCCGCCCGGGTTCCCCTCCGGTCTGACCTTCTCCTCCGGCTTATGCAGTGCTAGATTTATGGATTACAGCCCTTGGAAGGGTTTCCCAGCCCCCTGCTCAGCGCAGAGTCCACTAAACTGGACTGGGGGCCATCCAGCGAGGGAGAGTCCATCCCTGTCCTGGCTCTGTTCCCGCTGCTTCACGGCTCTCGTCCTCAGGAAATTCCTCCTATTTCGCCTGAGCTCCCTCTCCTTTAATTTCATCAGCTGACCCCTGGGCTCCCGTTGGGCAGCTCGGACACCTCTTGACAGCTTTGCAAAATTCGTAGACCGCCAGGGTGTCTTTCTTCTCCCCCAGCCCCGTCAAACGCGAGAGCCTTAACCTGATCCTGGTGTAATTAGGGGATTTCACTTGACTACATTGCTCTTGTTTTCCCTTGAGGTTCAAGAAAGGCCAAACGAGGTCACTGCATGTTGCAGTCCAGATGTGGCCTCCCCCTTTCTGTACCTGACCCCACCACTCCAGCTGTTCCTTGCATCTCCCCCAACCCTCTTCCGTTGAAACGGGAGTAAAATAGCAAAGCGGGGGGTCAGAAACCTCCTTCCTTGAGGGTTCCCTGCAGGCTTGCAGGATGCCACTGCAGTTACAGGCGTCCAGGGGTCTGGGGCTCCCTGCCCACTGATGGAGTTCCCTCTGCCTTCCCCAGGGGTGGTGATCCAAGGAGCTGGGACCTCCGATGCCTACGTGACCAGCTTCTTCCTGCAGTTCAGCCTGGATGGCCTGAGATGGCATGACTACCAAGAGGTGTCCTCCAGGACCATCAGGCCTGAGCCGAAGGTTGGCATCTCCTCTTGAGAGATGTCCTCATGGGCAGAAGGGGCCAGGAGGCCTCCAGGTCTTCTGAATCTGGATGGAGAGCAAAGGCTTGCTGTTCATTGGCCGGGAACTGGGTGGCATGTCAGAGGCCAAAGGCTTGGCTTGTGAACCTCTTCTGAGAAGGATCAAGTGGGCTGGGAATGGACCCCCTTCCCCGACCGCCCCTCAGCAGCTGCTTCCAGGCAGACCCGATCGGGGCAAGACGGGGAGAGGTAAAGCAGCTGGCAATTCTGCCGTGCTGCATGCACCAGCCATCACGGTCCCATCTCCTTGCACCGCTGACTCCTTCCTGGGATATAATAAAGGGGGTCTTTGGGTAATCTCCACGTAAACGAACCAGTTTGGGGCACTGGTTTTGTAATTTGCCAGCGCGTCTCTTGCCTTTCCTACCCAGCTCTTCCAAGGAAACTCAGATGACTCGACCCCCGTGGCCAGGACCTTCCAGCGCACGGTGCATGCCCAACACGTGCGCCTCCTGCCTCACGACTTCCACAACGGGATCTTCCTGCGCATGGAGCTGTTGGGCTGTGGCAAAGGTGGGACCCAGGATTTCTGACACAGCACTGGGAGGGATGTGATGCCAGGCTACTCTAGGGGGCTAAGGAGGAGGGAAGGGGCAGGAATGTGGCACCATTTGTAGGCTCTCCAGACAAGCATTGGAAGTGCTCTGTTTTGACTGGTTTGCACAACACGCTAAGGGAACTAAAATGTGTTGGGTAAGTTTGGTTCAGGGTGTTGTGGGAATCCAGGCACTATCTTATCATGTTTGGGGAGTCTGGAAGGGGCTGGTGGCTCGCGTGCTAGAAGCCTGTTTCAGGCAAGGTTTGGGTCAGGTCTTCCTTGGCCCTTTCAACTGCTTGGAGCAGGAAGGAATCGAGATGTCGGGTGCAACCCCCTGCCGTTCACTGCCGCTCTTCCTTCCCTGCGGACCTGGGACCCCCAAGTCACCCCCGCCCTCCCTGTCTCAGTGTCCCCAGAACAGCCCGGGTGGCCGACGTCCCCCCCAGGCTGGCGGCCTTGCTGGGCCGGAGAGTTCCAGTGCCAGAACGGGCGGTGCGTTCCAGCGGGGCCCCACGGAGCCATATGCAACGGGGTTGACGACTGTGGGGACTTCTCTGACGAGCTGCGCTGCGGTGAGTGGGAGCTGCCGGCGGGGGCAGCACCAGGGCTTTCCATCCGGGCGGGCGCTTGACTGGTTGGTCTCACTTGTAGCCCCCTGCCATCCGGCTCTGGTGATTCACCGGATAAAATACCCAACGAAACGATGCAGTCAAAGAGCCCCGGTCCTGTCCATAAGCACAGAAGGCAAATTAACGGACAAAGCCAACCTGTAACCCAGCCGAGATGGCATCGTGGCCCAAGCGCCCCCGGAAATGCTCTGTTTGGAGCTGCTACCTGAAGGCAGTTGGGGGGCAGCCAACGGGGGGTCCCAAAGCCACCCGAAAGCAGCCCCACTGGGCCTGGCCCCCCCCACCTCCCAAAAACGGGGAGCCTCCAGCAGACGGAACTGGCCGGGCCGATTCTGGTGGGAGAGCGTGGTCCGGCAGCCACATGGCCCCGAGCCGTGTGGGGCTTTATAGGTTTGGGGTCGGAGTGAAGGCACTGGACTAGAAGCTGGGAGGTGGTGAGTTCTAGTCTCCTCTTAGGCACTGATGCCCGCTGGGTGACCATGGGCCAGCAATGCCCTCTCAGCTCAACCCACCTCGCAGGGCTGTTTCTGTGGGGAAATAGGGGAAGGGAGCATGATGTGCGCCATCTTGAGTTGTACAAAATAAAGGCGGGTTATAGATCAAACAAGCAAAGAGCACCTACTGGCAGTCGTATTCTGGCACCCCCATGGTTTGGCTCATCTTTCGATTTTGTTAGGAATTTGAAAAAGGCGCCCTCTTGTTTCCTTTTTTCTTTGAGTTTTTGAGCTTTATCCTTACGATTTTCAGCCCCGGACAATATTTTTTTCTTTTCTCGGAACTTTCTCCCTGCTTGCACAGTAAATAATCTTAATTACATCAGCACCCATTGTTCTCATATGGCAACAATTCTGCGAAATTATGTTTAACCTTTGAGAGGGCATGGTTACTGCTTTTTGCTTTTTTATTGTGTTTTTGGGAACTTTTGATGCCCCCCCCCCCGCAATCACGGCACCCCTAGGCCGGTGCCTACTTGGCCTTAGCCTAGAGCTGGCCGTGCCTACTGGTAGCCAGGATAAGGCCCACAGCACTGGGGAAATAGCTGCCCCCCCCCCAAAAAAGCTGCATGGAGCCATGAGGGGCCAGATCCAGCCCACGGGCGGCGGAGGAGATCCTGGAGAGCCCCGAGCCACCTTGCTGGGGGTCCCAGGCCAAAAGGAACCCAGGTCGCCAGGCCGGAGGATGTCCTAGTCCTCACCCTGGATCCTGCCCACATGGAGACAAGACCCGAATGCATCTGAGCCCCTTTGCCAGCAAACTGTGGCTAATTAGTTACAGCGCGCAGACAAGGGCCCCCGATGCTGGTTCCAAGACCACCAGAGGCCTCATGGTTGCCGTGGGGGCCCTGAACAGACCCAGTGCCCGTTACGTGCAGCTGAAGTCCCCCAACGCCAAAAGGCGGGGGTCTCTGGACCAGCCCAGCAACCGGGCCCAGAAGCTCAGGCAGGCAGCAGGGCATCCGGTTCACCACAGGAGCCCTGGCTAGTCTCTACGCCCTGCTGAAGACAGGCGCTCCCCCCCGCCCCTGCAGGGACCGTAGCACCTGACCACAGGTGGGGTCTCCCACTCCACCGGCCCTGGCCTCAAGGCTGGCGCAGGAGCCGAAATCCGGCCAGCAGATTTCAGAGAAAGCGGGATCCCCACCCTCATCCAGCCAGGCCTCGGTAACACAGGTCGGGTCTGCCTCCTCGTCCACCACCAAACCATGAATGGACGAGGCCTTATTGCAAACAGACCAGGCGTACCAGCAGCACCCTAAAGCCAGGTGCTCTGACAATCCGACCAGGTGAAGGTTACTAGGTCAGAAGACGAGATCGCCCCCAGGTTGGAGACTGGCCTTTATGCCCACACCTCCACATGCAGAGTTCGGTATGATGGTTTGAGACTTGGATGGGAATTAGGGGAATGGGCTCAGCATCCAGATCCCCTGCTTGATCCCCTGACGATGGTTTTTTCAGCTGGCCACTGTCTCCGTTAGCCTAATTGGCCTCGGGGGTTGTTGTATGGATAACCTGAACCAAGGGAAATCCTCAAATACTTAAGTTGTCAGAGGAAGGCTTAGATACAGGTAGTCCTCAACTTACAACCACGATTGGGACCGGAACGTCGTTGCTAAACGATGCAGTCGTTAAGTGAGTTGTGCCTGGTTTTACAACCTTTTTTGCCATGGTTGTTAAGCAAATCACATGGTCGTTAAGCAAATCCAGCTTCCCCATTGACTTTGCTTGTTGGAAGCCCCCTGGGAAGGTCGCAAATGGCGATCACGTGACCCTGGGATGCTGCAACCATTGTAAATACATGCCGGTTGCCAAGTGCCTGAATTTTGATCACGTGACCACGGGGACACTGCGACAGTCATAAGTGCGAGAACCAGATGTAAGTCACTTTTTTCAGCACCGTCGTAACTTCGGTCGCTAAATGAATGGTTGTAAGTTGAGTACTACCTGTACAGACCTACTAATCAATTACTAACTGCACACACATCTCATGACCAGGGTTATTTCTTGAGGCAAAGCTGTCCTTGCATTCATCTATGTTTTTTCTTCAAAACATTGAGGAAGATAAACAATGAAATGAAAGTGGTTTTGGAGGCAAAAAACCAGTTAACGCTTGCTCACCTAGTTGCTTTTAATCCAGCAGTGGTGGGCTTTGCCTGACCCCGGGCAGCCTCTGCCCATGGCACACGCCAAGAGGGCCTTTTTGGGGTGGCCCCACTGCCTCCGAGGTGAGCCCTAGGGCTGTTCTCTCCACCGCCCACCTGTTCTTCAGCTGGAACGGCTGTGCCCGGGCGGTTGCTGCAGCTTGTGGTCTGGCCCCCTTCACAGGCATTGCCCCATCCCTGGAGCCCCCCTCCCCAGCAGGCTGCCCGGCCTCCCAGTTCCACTGTGCCTTTTCCGGCATCTGCCTCGAAGCCGCCAAGAGATGCGATGGGGTCGCTCACTGCCCAGGTGCCACGGATGAGATTGGCTGTGCGCCTGCAAGCAGCATCCCGCCGCCTGGCATCCTCAGGTAACAAAGGAAGGGGGTTTCCTGGCCTTTGCCAACCAGTGCCCCCTGGTCGCATGACTGGGCTTCACGCCACTGAGGGGTCCAGCACTCCGGGGTCAGGCCAGGGACAGCTGGCATCAGGTGACGTTGGCTGTGGGGTCCATTTTCCTGCAAGGGGGCAGAGGAGGAGGAACTGACTGCAGAAGGTGACGTTTCCCCAGTGCCTCTCTGGAAACAGGACTGGAGCACCCAGCCAGCCTCTAACCTCTAGGTTACCCACCTCTGGGGGGCAGGCAGCAACCCTTCCACCTACTGTAGGTCTTCGCGAGGTCTCCTAACGAAACCTCTTGCGGTCTCTCTTCCAGCCCGTGGACCTCAGAGGGACCTTCGCAGCCCACTGCGGTAAGAAGAGTCCTGCTGGGAGTCTCGGGGTCAAGAGGGGCTCCCAGCCCCACGTCCTGGGGTCACCTGGCTGTAAAGGAGAGGAGCTCCATGGGAACAAGCAGCCACAAGCTTAGACTGGGCGGGGAGGGCCCTGCTCCCGGCTCTAATGTCCAGCAAGACTTCAGTGGGGCCTGAGCTAGTTGTGACTGACCGGGAAAGGGGGCCTGGAGTCAGTGGGCCCCATGTGCAGCTGCTACTTAAAAAGCAGGGGGATCCTGAGGCAGGGAACTGGAGATAGCGTTGCCGAGATAGTGCCCTTAAAGACATCTCTGACAATACCATTCTTGCCACAGTTCCGATCACTGCACCTTCGGGGTATTAGAGAATGAACGGCCGCCCCAAAGATTAGGGGCTTGAGCAGCCTCCCTGCAAAGGAAACAGCTGAGGCTTGGCAGGTTGGAACCAAGGGGGAAGGAGAGAGACAGAGAGGTCCACAACATCACGCCTGGCAGAAATGATGTTGCCTCGCTGGCATCCATTGAGGCAAACTGCGGGGAGATTCAGGGGGTCCTTGTTCACGCTGCACATACAGTGGACCGGTGGGCTTCAGTGGTAGCCACTGAGAGCCAAGATGGCCGCCCGGCTTCTTCTTCAGAACCTCCAGAGACGGAGAACCCACAGCCTCCGTTGGAAGACAGCTCCCCTCTTGTGTGGATCGTACCCTCAGGAAGTTTTTCCTTATACTGAAAAGACACCTTTTCAGCAGCTGCAGCTTCTGGCCCTAGTTTCTGTAGCCAGGGAAAAATGTTCTTGCTGATCTTCCTTTTACTGAGCTCAACACAGCAACTGTCTCCCAACTGAGGATCCCAAGGGCTTCAGCCTGTCCTCACAGGGCACGTCTTCATACATGCAAACACAT